CTTTATGGATGGAGAGAAAATCCCTGTGAGGTTCTGAAAGGTGAAGTAGCTTGTCAGAGCCACACATGGAACCTCTGCTGCTAGTGAGGGAGGCCTGTTGTGTTCAAAGATGCAGCAGCCCTGCAGGTCTGGCATTGTAACCCTACTCCCATGGATGAGAACCCTAGAGGTTTACAGAATGTTCAAGGTCACAGAGCAAGGAAGTGACAGAACTGAAGTCAGGTCAGATCAGCCTTCAGGTGGCAAGAGAAAACGTCACTGCTCCACCTTCAGGTGTTCCCCCAGGATGCTGGTGCGAGGGGAATTCCGACTCCTGCAATCCCAGTAAAGCCAATAAAGCTGCTGGGCCTGGTAGAAGGAGGCCCAAAGAGAACATTCTGCATGTGCCAAATGTCCTGGCACATTTGGCCTTTCTTCCACTCAAGCCTGATGATATCAGAAGTTAACTGAAGCTGTTCAAAGGAAGGAAAGTACATGCTTTGATGAGTCTTCCATGTCCCTTGTTTTTTTGCTGCTTTTATTTTTTTTGCTTCTTCAGGGACAATCTGGCAGATCTCAGAGTGTTTTTCTCCTGTCAACTGACCTCACATCACTTAAGTGGCTCTGAAATTACTAAAAAAGTTTCTGCACAAGCAGGAAGTTCTGGTTTTACATTTCCCCCCACTTTCCAGGCAATAAATCTTAAGAGGCAAGCTAGGCAGAATTTTTTTTTTTTTTTTGACCAGAGGCTGGGTTTGAACCCATTACCTCCGGCATATGGGGCCAGTGCCCTACGCCTTTGAGCCACAGGCACTGCCCGGGAGCATATTCTTTATCAAAGGATTTGACCAGTGGTTTGGGGAGATCTGGAAGTTGCCAGATCATCATGTCAACATCTATCTGTGAAAAATGTTTTTTAAACGACACTGATTGGCTATTGGGTCAAATGTGAGTGAATTTAAAGGCATGACTTACTATGTTTGGGGGGATGATGGATGGGAATAAGTCTAGGGAACACAACCCCCTTTTTACTGCTTGAAAATAACTTACGAAGAGAACAGCGGCAGCATTCTAGAAGAGAAAGCTGCCACTGAAGATAAGGTTTGGAGAGAAGTAAGGAGGGTTATTCAGAGAGCATGTCTGGGTGGCTTTTAAAGATGAAAAGACTGGGCAGTGGAGCTCTCCCCTTAAAAGCCCAGTTACCTGCAGTTTCCCTTCCTTCCTCTCCCCAGCCAGGTGTGAGCTCCCCTTCTGGTGCTGCCCCATTTTATTCCCTCTGTCCCTGTCTCTGGCTCCTGTCTTTCTTTACATAGTGTAGAAAAAGACCCCTACCATCCCCAAGGGACTGTTGACCTTCCTGACAGGAATTCAGAGTATTTCTCTTCTGGTCTGACCCAGTTTCCTGACAAACAGCATGTGACTTGTCTTTCTGTCAGCATACCTCCTGCCTGGGACAGCTGTATGTTCAGTCAGAAGCTCTCACATGCTGTTGACCTATATCATGAGTATCTTGTAGGGGAGCCTATCATTTGGCCATGTGACTCCCAGGAGCGAAATGGACGTACCAGAGCCACTAGCGATGGAATGTTCTGTGGGACACACTTTTGGAGATTATTTTAAAAATAGCTCATATTTATTAACATCACTTTTATACTATGAACAATCCATGGTGCTTTACCCACATGATATAATTCTCCCACCATCTCTCTGATGTATTACTATTTGTATTTTACAAATTAGGAAACTAAGGCCCAGAAAGATAAAGTTAATTGCCCAAGGTCACTGGTAAAGGCTAGATTTGAAGCTGGGTCTGACTTTCTAGCCCGAATCGCTGTATGATTTCATTTGTCCAGGCCATGGGAATGTTTCAAGCAATATGTTTCTTTAAAAAGTTTAAGAAGTCAATGGATCTATATCTGGCAAACCAGCTCCCAAAAACAAGAACTGATTTTTTATCTTTTCCTTTTCACTTACTCATCCAGTGGTTCTGAGGCTCTCTGTACAATCTGGGGCAATGCCTTATGATTCTGCCAGGCTGAAAAGAAGTTCATTCTTTTACTTCACCCCAGTTGCCAAATAGCATTGGCAGCTAGCCCTCAGACGTGGGTCTGTAACCCTTGCAAACATAACAGGACAGATGGAGCAACTGCTGAGTAAGGGTAGCTTTGGCTGGGGTTTGTGGTTACTTGGCTTTATCTGTAGCTGAGGTTCTGATGATTTCATTCATATCTGCTTACTGACTACTTCAGATGCCTTTAACAAATACCCAGGCCAGGGTGCTGGGTGTCCAACAGAATAGAAAGGGCTCCCAGAAGAAGGGCCCTTTAGCTGAGATCTGAGAATGTAACAGGGACAAGGGGTGTGTGTGCAGGGGGTTGTGGATAACTTTGCAGATGGGGAGGATGGAACCCACTGAGAACTAGAAGGGAGAAAGATCAGGGGTATAACAAGATGTTCTTCATTTTTAGAGTGTAGAGTTTGTAGGGGGGTGAGTGGGTAAAGATTAGTCCAGAGTAGGACTGTAGATCCAACAAGCTATCATCGCTGACGCCTACTTTCCAGAAGACTTGATTAAATTCACTCTCCTTTATTGGATTTTACTGCCCTTTCTCCATCCTGCATCCCTACCCCATGCCACAGTGCCAGGACAGGTCTCACGCTGAAGTTTCTGAGATGCAAACTCATGATGCCTTGCTGTCAAAGAATGCTCAGTTTTACTGAGTTCTTAAGCACCTCATCATTTCATTTAATTCTTGCTATCTCTTCTAACTTGGGAGGTATTATTATTTGCTTTTTATAAATGAGGGAATTGAAGGTCAGAGAGTGAACTGAGATGTCCAAGGCCACAAACCAGTAAGTGGCAGGGCCTGGCTGGCCAGCTCTGAAGGCCCCTGTCTTCCGCACCTCCCTAGTATAAGAGACTGATGTGTCAACATCTAAGTTCATGCTGGAGTGACCAGCAATGAGAAGGAGAGTGACGGTGGCCTGGCAGAAATGGCAGGAGGACTACATCTGACTTTGTGGAGAAAGTGGTCTTCCCAGAGAGGTAGAGACTAGATGTGACAGCCATGGACCTGCTGTAGAATCCCTTTCAATATAAACCTTCTATAAGCATTTGTAAACCTCCAGTATCCCTTGGGGCTCTTGCTCCCATGGCCTCAATTTTTTTTTTTTTTTCAAAATTAGGGTCACTAACCCAGGGTCTTGAATGTATTGTTCGCTCTGGCCCAGGACAATGCCTGGCACTTAGCAGGCACCCAGGGTTGATTTGTTGATAAATAAATGAATGAACTTCATTTTTAGTAGCCTACTGTTCAGATTAATGTTTTTCAACCCTTTTTATCTCACAGCTCACTTGAACCTACAGTTAAACTTTAGTGGCACACTTAAATTCTGTTGATCAAAAAATAAAAAAGTAAAAAATAGATTTACTGTGCTTTGAACTTCTTTTGAAAATAATTTAATTAATGATCTTTAAAAATTTTCATGGCACACAGGTTGAAAATCACTGGCCTAGCTCCTCAATTGTCTGGTGAATTCAAACACCTGGATGGTAGCTGCAACTCAGGTTCTCAATTACTGCTGGCTGCACCCAAGCACTGTGTTTCTGTGGCCTGGCTGAGCATGCAGCCAGCTAAATAAGCCCTGTGGTCTGAGAGTCCCCAACAATTTGGTCATATCTGTTGAAATTAAAAATGCATGCATATTCTGATTCAGCAAGTCTACCTGTAGAGATGGAAGCTGTGGCGTGTGTGCGAGACATGGCTAGAAAGATCTCAGCAAGGCCTGTCAGCAAGAGTGGGAATCACCTTCATGTCCACTGAGAGAGGAATGAGTAAAAGAAGGTCCTTTTCTGCAACATATGGAAGTGTACGTGCCCCTTAATGGGAAATGAGGCAGAATGGAGTGTTCCAGCAGATGAATGCCTGGTACTTTGTTGAATGAAAAGGCAGAGTGTCCAACAAACACACCCGTACATGTGTACTCTACTGAAAAACACACCAGGCTAGTGCTTCCCTCAGGGAAAAGGGTACTTTGCATTGCAGAACCCTTGGAACTTAGGAGTGATGACGGTGGGGGTCGCAGGCAACAGCTAGTGACTTGTGGGTCTGGCAGTCGTGAACTCCGAGGAGCACTTACTACGTGTCTAGTAGCGAACACTTCGCACAGATTATCTCATTAAATCTTCAAGCGACCCCATGAAAAAAGTGTAATTATCTGTTTACATAAAGCGAAAGCACAGAGAGGTTAATAATTTACCAAAGATGACATATGAAGCAAGTGAGGCCTGGAATGAAGTCCAGGTAGTCTGATGCTCAAATCTATGCTCTTAATACGTGCAGCGCACACATAGTTCTTCATTGAAAACCAGTCCCTGAGAAACTTCTGGTCCCAAATATTGCCCAATCCAGCGATCAGGTGACTGTATGTCAGAGTGGGGACTAGCCCACACAGGTAAGGGCTCTCACCTGGGCCTGGTCACGGCGCCCGGGGGCCGGGCCCGCGCAGAGCCCGAGACACCAAGCCGGAGGCGTCTTCCGGCGTCCCCGGGGGCGCCCGGCTGATGAAACGCAGCCTGCAGCTCCGCTCCGGCGCGCCCCGAGAGGAGAGGTCCCTCCAGGCCGCGGGCGAGCCCCGCGCGGGG